AAGATGACCAAAACAACAGGATAACAGGAAATATGAAAGTGACAATTTTATCAAACTTACTCAATATAAGAATCAGTTGTTTGAAATGACACGTGCCTGAGTGATGCTCAGGATAGTCAGTGTACAAACAAATGCACCACCAAAGTGATGCTCCGTGAAGAAGCTAGTAAAGTAAAAGCCACTGAATTGTGTGTGATGCTTGTGGTATGTGAGTTATATCTTCAAAAAAAGAGAACCCAACTGCAAGTGGCAACTGAGACCTCTCTAGCATGGGGTTGGAGACCATCCAGGTTAAGAAGAATAGCTATGTGTAGAGGTGCAGTGGGCAGCAGTAAAATATGTTACATGTAGAGAGAACAGATTAAATAAGAATGAAGGGAATGTAGTTAATCAGTACTGTAGAAATGACATACAAACTTGGGGAAAGAAATTTTAAAATTAACCTTATGGTGTTAAGTTGGAGTTAAAGATGTCACTGCAATGTCTGTCTGTGCATCCCTTTCTTTTCTCTTTCTCTTCTCTCACTCTCCACTCTGCCTATGTTTGTGTGTAGGTTTACAAACTAAAATGGGTAAAATGATATGTGTGTATGTATACATACTCTTGCACAAATAAATGCTGCCTAACTGTCCTTTCAATGGGCGTGAGGAATTGATATCCCAATAGCAGTGAGAATATGTAAGGTGCAGCTCTTAATACTCTGGAAGCCTTTCTCCCCTATGAAGAACCAGGGCTTCTTGGAAAAATAACTGGTTCTCTAGCTGGGACATGGAAAGAACAAGAGGAGTGTTATCTTGGTTACTTTTTTTTCCTTGGTGAGACAAAATACCCAACGCCCAAAATTGAGGAAGGAAAGATTTATTTAGCTTACAGTTGTGGAGGTTTCAGCTATAATCAGCTTGCTCCAGGGCAGGGTGGCATAGCACAGGGCAACACTTCAAGGTGGCAGAAGACAGCAAAAGCAGCAAGAGCAAAAAGGGGAGAACAAAACCTCTTTCCCTCTCTTTTATATTGTAAGCAAGGTACCCCTACCCAGGGGGTGTGTAGCTCTCACACCATCTCCAGGCCCTCCTCTTGCACAGGCTCAGGATGAATACAAAGTAAGCACCCTGGCTCCCTGCTGAGTCACATAGTTAACCTTCTAAACTTGTCAAGTTGACACAATGAACAACATCCCAGAGCAGGAAGGGCATGTCCTTCTCACCCCAGGATGCAGAACTGCTGAGTCACTTAGTTAAACTTGCAGACTCAAGTTGACACAATGTATCAACCATAACAAGCCTGAAACATCTTGTGCTAAAAAGCAAAGAAGGGTTCAGAAAATGACAAAGATACGTTAAACGTTCGGTCATAGGAGCCAAATTAAAGGGGTTTACCCTTGCCAAATCTAGAACAAGTTTGAGTAAATACTGATAGTAGCAAATTATAATCCATTAGATAAGATAGTAATCAATGAATTCATACTGCTATAGATAGATGAGGTCAAAAGTAATACATTTAGAAAAATTACTGTTTTCTTTAATCTTTTCTCCCTACAAAGAGTTAATTCAAACAAGAAATGTTAATGGAAGCTGAAAAGAGCGGGAAAAGGTTGTTGGAAGATTCAGGCCACTTCTTGTATACCAGTGTTTGTGTCATCATTATTTATAAAAGCAAAAAGATGGTAACAACGATCACTGTGTCCAACAACAGATTAATGAATAAACTAAACGTAGTGCACACACATAATGGAGTATTAGCCAGGGATGGTGGCACATGCCTGTAATACCAGGTACTGAGGAAGCTGAAGCAAGTGAACCACAAAAACCAGCCTGGGCAACTGTTACGGTTTGTGTCTGGGTGTCCCCCCAAAGCCTCATGCGGTCATGGGGCAGGCTTTCAGAGTTTGATTGATCATGGGTGTGAGAGCTACACTTGCCCTGGGGTGGATAGTTTGCATATGTAAGGGAGAGGAAGAGGCTGCTTGAGGCCATTCCTCCCTTTTAGAGCTTGTTGATTATGCTGTGTTCTGCCACCGTGAGCTGTAGCCCTCTCTGCCATGTGCCACTCTGCCTTGTAACCTGCCAAGTATGGACTGAAACCTCCACAAACTGTAAGCGAAATAAACCTTTCCTTCCTTAATTTTGGGCATCAGGTATTTTGTCCCAGCAACAAGAAAAAAGTAACCAAGACAGCAACTGAGCAAGATCCCATTTCAAAATAAAATTTTAAGTTTTCATAAAAGAATTGGGGATGTTGCTCAGTGGTAGTCCTTGCACAACATGTGTGAGGCCTTGGGACTAATCCTAAGTACCCCTCCCCCCACACAAGAAAGGAAAGGAAAGGAATACAATGGAACTGAAGGAAAATTTAATATATATTATAATATGATGAGCCTGGAGAGCATATACTCCATGAGATAAACCAGATAGAAATGGACAAATATTGTGTAATTCCATTTCTACCAGATACCCAGAACAGTCAGATTTGTAAGAGGCGCAAAGTAGAATAGCGGTCTGTTATAGTGAGAGGAAGAAATGGAAAGTTACTGTTTAATAGATATAACAGAGTTTCTTTGGAGGATGATGAGGGTTCTGAAAGTGGTGATGGCAGGGGAGTGTACTTAATGCCAGTGAGCTGTAATGATTAGAAGGTTTTGTTGTGTGTATTAAGCAAGTATTTGAGGTCTATTGAAGAGGTCATAATAATGAGAAATGTTAGTTTCCTCATTTCTGTGCTGGCAATAAGAGTTATGTGAAAATCCAAATACAAAAACAGAAACACTAAATCTGCCAGAAGAGAGAATAGGTAGAACTCTTGAAGACACTGGCATAGGCAAAGACTTTATGAACAAAACTCTGATTCCATAGGAAATATTGCAAAGAATCAACAACTAGAATCTTATTAAAAAGCTTTTCACACAGTAAAAGAAATCATAAACAGAGTAAAGAGACAACCTACAGTGTGGGGAAAAAATTTTTGTCAGCTCTTCTTTAAAAGACTAATATCTAAAATATATAAAGAACTAAAAAAAAAATCACCCCCCCCCAAATTTAAAGGCCCAGTCCAAAATTGGGCATCTGAGATAAATACACATTTCTCACATGAAGAAGTAGAAAAGGCAAATAAATATATGAAAAAGTGTTCAACATCTTTGGTCATTTGAGGGATTCAAATTACAACAATGCTGATATTCCATCTCTCCCCAGAAAGAATGGCTATGATCAACCAGTAATAAATGCTGGTGGGGCTGTGGGGAAAAAGGAACCCCTCTCCACTGTTGGTGGGAGTGTGGAGTGTTGCAACCACTGTGGAAATCAGTGTGGAGAGTCCTCAAAAAACTAGGAGTGGAGGTCCCATTTGACTGAGCTATTCTCTGTCTGGGTATCTTCCCCCCAAAATGTTTTTTTCTTTTCTTTTTTATCTTTTTGGTACTAGGAATTGAACTCATGCCCTCAGGCTTGCCAGGCAAGCACTTACACTGTTGAGCTATATCCCAGGCCCTCTTCCTGAAAAAATTGAAAACATCATACCACAGTTTATGTATGCACGCCCATGTTTGTAGCAGCAATTTGTAATAGCTAAATCTTGAAAACAGCCCAAATGCCTATCAACTGATAAATAAAGAAGATAGGGTTTTTTTTTAATACAGTGGAGTACTACTCAACCACAAAGAAGGATAAGCTTGAGACATTTGTAAGTAAATAGATGCACCTTGAGACCATACACTTAAGTGAAATAAATTGGACACATGTGCAAATACCACGTTGTTTCTCTGGTGTGAGAAAGCAAAAGTATAAGGACCAAAATGTATATTAGATAATATCAAATAGGAAGAAAATGCTCCAATTGGGAAGGGGAATGGGGAGAGGAGAGGGGGGAAAGGAAGGAAGGTAAGGGAGAAAAAAATGAGAAAAAGAAAAATGGAAATGAAGCCTTTGTAAATAAGGAGGGGAAAGGGGTTGAAGGAAGGGTAAGGAAATAGGGAAAAAAGAAGTATGATTATATCATGTACAAGTACAAATTCCCTATGATGAATATGATCATTATGTATATCTGAAATGTATCAGTAAACTTAATTAATTAGAAAAAGAGTGTCCTTGTTTATAAGAAATACATACCTTCAGGGCATGATAGGACATCATGTCTGTAACTATCAAATGGTTAAAGAAAACAGTGTTCTTTGTCCTCTTAAAACTTCAAAAAGTTTGAAATTATTTCAAAAGAAAAAGAGGAATATTAAAAAAGTAATAAAAGAAACTGAAGAGATTGTGTGAGAACTAGATCTCAAGACTAGGACTGTATTCAAAACCTAAGTGCCAAAGAAATTGGAACCTTTTTCTATGTGGCAAGGTATAAAAACATTCTCTCATGCTTAAAATTTTTTATGTTTAAAAAAAAGAATTTTATGTTTTGACCAATTTTGCATGCGTATATCTGGTAATCTGAGTAACTGATTTGAAGACAACAGTACACAATGGAATAACCATTGGTGAATTCCAACCGTCTTATCTAGTGAAACTCTGTATTCTCTCTAATGTTTTATCTAATAATTATTTTTTTATTCTCTATAATGGTTTGAACAATCTTCCATTCTTGCATCTGATAATCTGAGCAACATAGTTGAAGATAACAATATATAATATAACAACCACTGTTAATTCCTATCATTTTGTTTTGAAACCCTGTATCACTTTTAATGTTCTTGCTTTGTTTTGTTTATGTTTGTGATGTTGGCATGCTGCCATTGTTCTTTTTTTTTTTCCTTTTACTACTCTCTTTAAAATAAATAAAAACATTCTCTCAAAATCAGGTGTTTCCAGCATAAAATGGGGGTAATTTCAGTAGATTATGTATCAGTTATAATCTGTGCAAGTAGAGAAATCAGTGTATAGAGTGGACCTTACAAGTTTGGACTTAGAAATTGAAACTAAACAAAGGACCCAACTGAAATGTAAGAACACTTGTGGAACTAGAACATTTTCAACAAGTTCATGTTTTGCAATGACTTCTTGTTACAGGTGATGCCGAACAGGAGCTTGGTCCCCCTCCGTCTGTAGATGAGGCAGCGAACACACTCATGACTCGTCTTGGTTTTCTCCTTGGAGAAAAAGTCGCAGAAGTTCAGCCAGGTGACCAGTACAGCATGGAGGTACAGGATGAAAGTCAGGTACGCTGCTTGTGCTAACTTTGTGAAACATGGTATGAATCAGCATAGTATATCAGAAAAAGAAAAATTGTATGTGTGTGCGTGCACACATTCTAAGAGGGATAATCCCAATTGTTGAATGACCTTTGAGGCCTGAAATGTAATTTAATTTTCCATAAGCACTATGTTTCTTCAGTTTATGAAATAACTTTTATTCTTAGGTTTAAAAGCAGAAAATATACTTTTAGACTTTGATTAATTTACTGAATAAATGAATAAATAAATAAATAAGCTATTACAACCAAAGTGACATGTGAGCACTGCACCCAGAAATTATATAAAATACAGTATTCAAGTGTGCATAGATGATTTACCATATTGGTAATATAGTGAGAACTGCTCTAACACCTACAGAGCAGTTCTTGACAAATTTCAAAAGATTCCAATTTCTGTGATTGTATTAGTTATAAAATGATAAATTAGAAAATAATACCTAGAAGATCTGCATATGCTTCAGTTTAAGTAATACATTTCTGAATGCTTTTTGAGTCCAAGAAATCACAAGAAATTAGAAAACATTTTAACTGCAATAACAAAAACTAAGCGTAACAAAACTTACAGCAATTGCTAAAATTTGCTCCAAAAAATTAGTTTTGAGTGCATATGTTTAGCAATATAGGAAGCCTGAAAATTAATGGTCTGAATATCTAGCTAAGAAAGTTTAGAACTATGAACATTAAAAATTATTTAATTTTATTATTTTCTTTCTTTTAGCTATTTCCATTCTTTTCCATTTAAGTGTGGCAAAAAATATATATTACAGTCAGATTCATTTACATGTTCTTAATGTTTGTGTGAATGACTTTTTGTGAAGCATTTTACTCAGATGACAAAATTTAATTCCAAATTGTATATTCTTTATAATAAAGGTGATGTTTCTGTCATAAATTAGTTTTGTTGTAATAATTGTTCTAGGATAATTTCAGTATATTTATATGTCTTGTTGGTAATGTCTTGTGGGTAATGTTTAAGTGGTCCATCAATGTCCCCCTCAGGTCTCTGTTTTTATCCTTAACACCTGTGTCATTGGTATTTTTTTGTTTGTTTGTTTTTGTTTTGTTTTGTTTTTTGGTTTTTTCCAGTATCGAGAATCAAACTCATGACATTGCTCTTGCCAGGCAGGCGCTGTGCCACTGAGCTAAATCCCCAGCCCCTGTCATTGGTATTTTTGACTGCATGTTACAGTCAGTCACCTGGGAAGCTTTTATTACATGGAGATGCCTGGTGACTCTAATCCTATTGATTCTCCTTCATTCTTATTTCTGTAAATACTACCTTAACTTTGGAGTTATCTCTAGTTCCCTTAGCTCTAGATCTGTATATTCAACTGCCTGCATTATGTTTTCTACCTCTATGTTTAAGAAAATCTCAAACTTAACATACCAAAATTAACATTTGCATTTTCTCCCAGAGCCTGCTTATTATTCAGTGTTCCCCAGCTAAATAAGTGGTATCCCCTACTTTCTTAAGACACAAAGCAATGGAGCCATTCTTGATTTCTCTCTGTCATAGCCCACATTCACTTTTTTAGGGAATCATAGACTCTTGTATCCAAAATATATACTAAAATCTTAATTCTTCTTAATTATTTGTGCTGCTGTGGATACGTCTAAGCCACTTTCATTTGTTGCCTGCACCACTGTGATATCTACAGATGTTATCCTAGAAGGCCTGAGTCTTTGCCTGGTTTATTCACTATGTACCTTCTTTACCTAGAACCATATTGAACACTATTAGGTGCTGTATACTGACTGCATAAATAAATGAGCTCCTAACTGGTCTCCATTTCCCTTTCTGTCTCACTATGTATACTGTTTCCACGTAGCCACAGTGATGCTTGTAAAATGTGAATATGATTATGTCAGTTCTCTACTTTTCACCTTTTGTTGTATTCCTGTCACACTTAGAATAAATTCTAAAACCATCGTAATCAGGAGCACGCTCCCTGATCTAGCCCCTTGCTACTCCTGCATCGTTTTCTACTCGTCACTCACTCACTGCCTTCTGGCCATATTGAGCTTTTCTGTTGTTCCTGAACACATAAAGCATATTCACTGGTACTGAGATTATCTTCCTGTATAGTTCATTTCCTCACTTCTTCCATCTGTTCAGATGTTACAGCTTCAGAGAGGTCTTCCTTAGTGAGTCTACCAAATAGTGCCCACCCATCATTATGTCCCTTTATCCTATGGTTTATTTCCTTCAGACCACTCATCGTTTACTGGTAGTATATTACACATTAAGTGTGAGCTTTTGTCTGTGTCTCATACAAGAATGTAAACTTCACAATGAAAAGACTGATGACTGTTTTCTTTTCTGGCATTAGGGATAATCCCAGAACCTTCACAGTGAGCTATATCCCCAGCCTTTTTAAAAACAGAATCCCACTAAGTTGACCAGGTGGCGCTCAGACTTGTAATCCTTCTGCTTCATGCTCTTAGAGTGCTGGAATTACAGATATACATCTAAGACTGATGAGTTAAATATCTACGACTGATGACCTAAATATTGGTATACAGTAGATAACATGTATCTATTTTACTTTTCATTTATTTATATTCATGCCAAATTAAAGTATGACTGTTCCAGCATACCTGTATTCACCTGGGAGGCTGAAGCAGGAAGACCACAAGTTGAAGACCGTGTCTCAAAATTTTAAAAAGGGGCATGACCAGAGATGTGGCCCAGTGTAAAGGCCTTGGTTTCAAACACTATACAGAGAGAGCTAGCGTGAGAGAGCAAGGGAAAGAGGAAAGAGAGAAAATGATCGATCTAATAGCAACAAGTAGCATAATGTAAATCTTACAGCATGACTATTTCCCTAGGACTTCATTCATTCATTCTGCAAAGCAACATTTCTTCAGGTGATAAAATTTATGCTTGTTGCTTTTGAGATTCTTCATGTCACAATGTATCAGTGATTTCTGAATGAAGTTGCAAGTCTGTATATGTGCCTTACTTGTAAATTTACTGAATAAAAGAATCTCAAATAAGTAAATGAGTAATACTTTGATTTAATATCATTAAGGCAATATGGTATAACAAAAAGACTGAATCAGGAAGTAGAAAACTTGTTCTAGTTCCAGTTCTGTCACCTGCCATTTTACAAATTTGTACCTGTCAGCCTCTCTGAGCTTCAGTTTTCTCATAAGTAATCATGAGTTACAGTTATTAAATGCTTACTTATAAATGATTTACTTGCACTTTTTTTTGGTACTAGGAATGTATCCCAGGGCCTTATGCATGATAGGCAAGTGCTGTCCCACTGAGCTACATCCCTGGCTCTTCTTGCACTGTTTTATTTAGGCTTCCTTACTACCAAATGTGGTATAGCCTATTCACATTCCAGTTTTCACATGAGAAAATGGAAACACATTGCCAGAAATTGAAGGAATGATATGCATATCCAGGCAGTCTACTTTTATCATTTGTATAACACCTGATAACAGTGTTAGAATCAAATTAGTTCATGATTATAAAAATACTTCGAGGGCTTCTAAATGTCATATAAATAAAAGGTGTAAGAATGTGTAATAAAATTAGTATATAATTATATGTAGATCTGCATGATGTATAGGAAAATTACTTCATTGCTTTCATAGCTTTGAAGATTTCATTTTCACATTTCTTAAATGGAGATAGTAATATTCTTTATGACTCAAGGTGACTGTCTTCTGAGATAAGTAGAATATTAGCAAAGATAGACCTCTGTGTTTTGGAAGATGCTGTGACAGTGATGTCCCCAGGATAGTGGTAGTAATAACAGAATATAAAGTAAGCAAGTTAACATAATTTCTGCAAAAGACAAAAGTTTTGAGTAACATTCAAGTGACCACTTTTTCTCTCAGTAGTTTCTAGGGTGTTAGGGTGGACCATACGTGTTCCAGCTTACATTTTAAAACTGCTGTAATACACCAACAGCATTTTATAAAAATGGAGATTACAAAGAAACTGAAATTTCTTTTGCTTCTAGAGAGTTATTATATAATAAAAGAAATTTGCATAATTTTAAAATTACTTTTAAAAAATCATTTCCTAATATTATTAATACAGTTGAAAAGATTTGTTTAGTTGCGGGCTAATGAGAACATCATGAGTGCATGCGCGCGCACACACACGTACATACAAACATCATTGGTGCTTAGTTGAGTTAAATATATCTGTTCTGACTTGGGTGTAGTGTTTAAACTAAAACAAAAACTGGACTGAACACAGATGATTATATATAAGGGATCAGATCTTGAAATTATCATACAAAGAGTTTAAGAATTTAATTTTTGCACAGCTAATAATTAACACATTCTTGTTATTAAGTGCAAGTCCTTAATTTTAGCAGACTATGAATATTCTCTATGTAAAGAAGTAAAAAGATTTCTTTTAAATTTAATGTTTAGCCAGGCGTGGTGGCGCACGCCTGTAATCCCAGCACTCAGGAGGCTGAGGCAGGAGGATTGTTATGAGTTTGAGACCAGCCTGGGCTACAAAGTGAGCTCAAGGCCAGCCTGAATTGCATAGCGAGACCCTGTCTCAAAAAGACAAAAAAAAATTTAATGTTTAAGCATGTTAAAATTATCATCAGTCCCTTAAGTAATTTTGTTACTGATCACTTGTCATTTTTGAAAAGGATAAAATTTCTTTAGTATTTGACAAAAATATACTTTTATTCACTATTTCAGTAATTGGATAGAAAGAGCAAAAGAAATACTCAAGATGTAGTTGGAGCTTAGTCTGTAATTAGTTTTTATAGAGAAATATGGTTTGATCTATTTTATTGGATAAACTAAAAAATTTTCCCTGTAATCATTTTGTGTCTCTGAGCAGTTGCTTCTGTATCAGAAAGACCTTTCTTTGCATTAAGAAATTTATTTTTGTTTCTCTTCAGCTGCAGAAGTATTTTTTTAATCCTACCAAAGGAAAATGGTAGGATAAAAAACAGAAACAGTACAAAGTTCCAAAGCTTGTGAACAGTTTATCAATTGGAAATAGCAAGGGAAATTTGTGCTTAATAAGAAGTTCCTATATTCTATTAGTGAATGGTAATGTAAGTACCTGTCACAAATCCTTGGTTATGTTAAATTCATCAAGTTTCACCTTAATTTTAGAACTCCCCATAGAGAGCAAAAACAAAATCTAGTAGGTGTAAAAGCTGTACCTATGGAATATTGCTTTTTTTATCAAGATATTACTTTGCCATAAGATATACCTTACTTCAACGACTGATCAGCTTATCTTACTCCCTCGATTCTGATTTTTCAGACCTCAGCAATCACTCAGCGGATAAGTCCCTGCTCCACCCTGACTAGCAGCACTGCCTCTCCACCAGCCAGTAGCCCCTGCTCTACTCTTCCTCCTGTCAGTACAAATGCAACTGCCAAGGATTGTAGCTATGGGGCCGTTACTAGTCCAACCTCCACTCTTGAAAGCAGAGATAGTGGAATCATTGGTAAGTTGGTTTTCATATTAATCATTTGTGATTTTTAAGTGGATAAGCTTAAGACTTTCAAAGTTTACTTTTTAGGATTTTTTTTTACTAGTACATGTTTATGGTACATAATGATTACATTTATCATGGGGACTTGGTATATGTACGTAGCACATGTTATTTCTTTTGTCACCCCTATACCTCTCATCCCTCCCTGCTCCTTTCTCTTGGGCCCTTTTCTCATTTGTAGAACTCTATTTCCATTTTCTTCTTCAATTCTCACACATATATACACACACACTTCTCTTATCTTCTCTTGTTCCCCTTCCAAATAGAAAAAGAACTCCTTTCTTCCTATTATCTGTCTTTTATTTTGTTCTTTATATTTTGGGCATCTCATGGAAGAGAAATCATGTGATATTTGTTTGTTTGTCTGATTTATTTCTCTTAACATTATGGTCTCAAACTGCATCCATTTACCTGCAAAAGCCTCAAGTTTATCCTTCTTTATGGTGGAGTAGTACTCCATTGTGTATAAATGTCTCATTTTCTTTTTTCCATTCATCTGTTGATAAGCATATAGGTCATTTTAAAAACTTTACTATAACTTGTGCTGCTATAAACATGGGTATGATTATATCATTCTTTTAAGTAGATACCTACAAGGGGAAGATCTGGGTCAAATAGTTTAAGTGTTTTGAGGAATCTCCATACTGTACTGGTGGTACTAATTTACATTCCCACCAATAATATAGAAAGTTTTTTTTTATTACTGTAGCATATGATATAAAAAATATGGTCACAGATGTCACGGCAGAAAACTTTGGCAGGAAAAAAGAATTTGATATACACATAGGTGAGGCATATAAAACTCCAATTAGCCGTAAAAAACTACAGCCACACATATCATAGTCAAGATTCCAGAAATTCACCACAAAAATAGAATATTAAAAGTATTTAGAGAAAAGAAATAAATCACCAATAAAGGAAAGCCCATCAGAATCACAGCAGACTTATCAACACAAACCCTCAAGTCAAGGAGAGCTTGGAGTGAAGTATTTCAAAAGCCCTAAAGGAAAACAACCTTCAACCCAGATTGATGTACCCTGCAAAACTATCTTTTAAAACGGATGGAGAAATAAGATGCTTCCATGAAAAAGAACACCTGAGGAAATTCATGAACACCAAACCAGTATTCCAAAATGTTTTAAAGGACATTCTAGAAAGAGATAACAAAGACTACAACTCTATGAACCCCAACAGATGGAATTCACCAGGCAAGGCAAACAATTAAATGGGGGCGGGGAAGGGAGCCAACAACAGGAAAATAACACAAGGATAAGTCAATACATATCAGTTATAACTATCAATGTTAGTGGTCTCCATTCACCAATCAAAAGGAACAGACTGGCAGAATGGATCAAGAAGCAAGATCCAATAATATGCTGCATAAAAGAAGCACATTTAGTTTAAAAAGAAATTCATACACTGAAAGTGAAAGAATGAAAAAAAATATTCCATGTGCCAGGAACCCAGAAAAAAAAAAGCAGGGGTAGCTATTCTACTTGCAGACAAACTGAATTTCAAGCTAAGACTGATTAAGAGAGACAAAGAAGGCCAGTTACTTCGTCATTGTAAAGGAAACAATCCAAGAAGAGAGATTCTTAGTTTTTTCATTTTTTCATTTGTTTTTTTGTTTTTGTTGTTGTTGTTGTTGCCATTTCATTGATTTGTACTCTGATCTTCTTTTCCCATACGAGGTCTGATTTGGATTATTCTTGTTTTTCCAGGAACTTGAGGTACATCATTAGGTTATCTATTTGGGCTCACAATATTTTTATGGCCATTTACAGCTATGACCTTCCCTTTTTAGGACTGCTTTAATTGTGTCTCATAAGTTCTGATTTGTTATATTGGCATTATCATTTAATTCTAGGAACTGTCTTATTTTTTCCTTAATTTCTTCTGTGACCCATTGATTATTCAAGAGTGTGTTGTTTAACCTCCACGTATTTGCATATTACCTATGCTTTCTCTTACCATTGATTTCTAGTTTGATTGCACTACAGTTTGATAATATACATGGTAAAATTTCAATTATTTTGCATTTACTTAAGCATGCTTTATTGGCTAGTGTGTGGTCTATTTTGGAGAAAGTTCCATGTGCTGCCAAAAAGAATGTGTATTCTGTTGTTGAATGGAACACTCTATATCTGTTAACCCAGTTCCACCCGTTTGAACCACCAGTGGTGTGTGCCTGACTGTTCCATCAGGCAGTGTGAACTACAAGTGTTTAACTGTTTTACATGAGTTCAATTTGAGCCACCCAGCAGTGAGACATACAAATTACAGTCCCACTGAAAAATTTTAAGTCTGTGTGTTCTAAGGTTTGGTTCGACTCTGATATTTCTTTGTTGACTTTTTGCCTAATTGATTTATTTGTGATAATGGGGTATGAGGTTTCCACTATAATTGTGTTGATGTTTCTGATGATATATGTCCAGTAGTGTTTGTTTCATGAAATTGGGTATACCTTTCTTGGTGAATATATATGTTTATAATTGTTATCTCTTCCTAGTGAATATTTCTTTTAAGTAATATGTAGTGACCTTTGCCTATTCTGATCAATTTTCACTTAATGTCCACTTTATCTCAAAGTTAGATAGTTATTCCTGCTTGTTTTTGGGTTCTTGTTGCATGGAATATTGTTTTCAATCCTATGATTTTTAGTCTATGAATTTTAGGGAGTTAAATATGTCTGTGTATAAATCATAATGTTGTATTTTCTTTCATGATTCATTCACATTGATAGTTACAACTGATAGATAATGACTGACTCCTATCATTATATTATTTTCCTACAGCTGATTCCTTTTCTTTCCCTCCTACCTAATGATTTGCCCTGCTTAATGCATTCATTCTGTTAGATCTTCTGGCATTGTTAGCTTTATTGTCTCTTTCTAGGATATCATTGAGAATTTTTTGGAGTGCTGGCTTGGTGATCATTAATTTCTTTAGGTGGTCTTTATCATTGGTGGTCTTATTTCTCAATTTTGAAAGGTAATAGAAATGGGGAATATATTTATCAATTGATAAAATATATTTATCAATTTTGAAAGGTAATCTTTTTTCAGATAGATCAATCTGTACTGGAAGTTGTTTTCTTTTAGGGCTTAAAACACTTCATTCCACACTCCTTCCCTTTAAGGTTTGTGTTGAGAAGTCTGCTGTAATTGTGATGGATTTTCCTTTATAAGCAATATGTTACTATTTTCTAACAGCTTTAAGATTCCATTTGCAGTCAAGCCATTTGGGACCTGTTTCTCAGAAGCTATTCCTGTCCCCCATTTCTATTCCCCAATAAATTTTCTTATTCTTAAAAAAAAAAGTAACATTCCATTCTTGTGTTGGATTTCTGCTATTTTGACTGTGATGTGTTGTAGAGTGGATCATTTCTGATCATGGCTATTGGGGATTCATATACCTCACTCATCTGTATGTTAAATTATTTTTCCACTTTTAGAAAGTTTTTTGCTACTTCTGTAAACAGATTTATGTCTTTGTGTTATCTTCTGATTTTTCACTCATTCCAGTTAATCTTTAGTTAATCTTTAGATTAATCTGTGGACTGTTAATCTAGCAGCTATTAGATTCATTTCTCATGTTTTCTAGTTTCTAAAATATCGGTTGTGCCAGGTGTGGTGGCCCATGCCTATAATTCCAACACTTGAGGGGCTGAGGCAAGAGAATTGCCTCACATTTGCCACCCACCTAAGCTACATAGTGAGTTAAAGACCAGCCTGACCTATATACTGAGACCAAGCCTCCAGTCAATCAATCAGAATGAATAAAATAAAGTATCTTTCATTAATTGATCACTGACAGCCCTGTCTCCTAGATATGACACTGTCCTGATATTGATTGCTTCTGCTGTACATCCTTTTAATAGCATTTTGAATCTCCTGGGTTTATGTTTGGAGACTCCAGTTCTTTCTCTACTGGACATTCATGTTTTGCATCTCTTTGTTTAGCATGGCTAGATTTTTATTAGTGTCTTCTGTAGACTCACTGAACATTTGTTTCATTAGGATCATTATGTGTTTAGTTATCTTCTTTGAATTTGTCAGGAACCTTATTGATCTTTTTTGTTATCTCCATTATTATCCTTTCATATATTTTGGCTGCATGACTTTTGATTTCCTCCACCTTAATGCCTTCTGTATTGGCTTTGGGAGAGTTGGGAGTTTTTCAGGGCATTTTCTTTTATTGTGTTGTCTTGTCTTCTCTCTTTTTCTCTCTGTTTTTTTTTGCGACAGGTTGTCACTGTGTAGTCCAGGCTGGCCTCGAGCTTGCAGCAATCCTCCTACCTCAGCCTCCCAAGTGCTGGGATTACAGGCATGTGCCTACATGCCTAACTGTTATTTTGTCTTCTTATGCTTCTATTTTCTGTTTTTCTGCTGAGACTTGCTGGTTGATTATAGTGGGTAGATTTGTTGCTAGTGTGAAGACCTCTTTAGTTAAAGTCTACTTTTGGGAGATATCTTGTAGACATGGCTACTGTCCCAGAATCCACCCATCTCCATTTATTTGGGAGGGGAGGTTGCAGGTTGTTTGGGCCAGTACCAAGTCCTTAGGTAATGGGCTACAATATTGTTTCTGACCCTCCACAGTCCAAATGTTGCCAGAGAAAACCAGTTGATACCAACAACCATGTTACCTTGGCTATAGTAGTAAAATCAGCAACAACAATAGTAGCAAATACAACTGGATATGACAAACCCTCAGAACCAGTAATAGAAAAGAGATCTATGACTATTATGTGCTTGTTCTGATTACTCTCTAGATGTCCCTCAAAACCTCACAAGATCATAAGTGGGGCTTCTAGGCGGTTACTGTGTTATAAGGGTTTACAGCTGACTTGTTGTTAGGAGATGGGGTCTGATGAGAAAGTGTCTCACTGTGGAGTGTGTGCTCCTTCACGGCTACTCCCTGGACCTTCTGCTTGCTGAATGCCATGAAGT